TTTCAATTCCGATGACCGACAGCTTCTTACGGGCAAACCCCATATCAAAAATAGTGCCGACACAAACCTATGTTAGAAAAATCAAAGGGGGCTCTAGTGGCCGATTAGGTAGGGTCAACAACCCATAGTATAAACATGTCATTGTGGTTGTTTATAAAAAAATACAATTAAGTACGCTAGTTATAAGTAGTAACTGCGACCGAGTTGTTATGCAATTTCTGAGAGGCGTCATTGCACTGCAGGCGAGGCATATTGTTGCGTTGACTTGTGGGATGCGTCGCTCCGCAGTGTATAACGGGATTTCACAACATTGGTCATGTTTCTCAATGAGCTTTGTTGTGATGAGCATCGACGACCGTCACCAACCAATGAGCGGTGGACGACAGTTGCAAGAGGGGGACATTCACTGGACCTTCAATGTAAAAACACCAGACCTCAACTCACTCTCCTCGAGGCTCCGAGCTTCCTCAGATACATGGTTCTTGTCCTAGTTCATGAATATAGTCCAGAAGAAACTTCCTAAAAAATAATTAAAGAATCCAAACCACTTAGGCGTCACAAAGATAATGAAATTGAATGATATTGAGCTCACTAGATTTGTCTCATTGATACAAGCTTTATTTGGCTAAAAGATTGTTAAATTTAAAATTTATTAGACATTCTAATCGGGTATATAAACATTTAAAAAATGGTTTAATTGTTCAATTTAGATTTGACTTGACTTGGATTAGATCATCTTTGGTGTTATTATGTTCTACTTGTCGAGGCCGCTATTTTATCTTTTCATGTTGAAATTAGACTTGTGAGTGATTTTTAATTGAAGTTTGCTGTTATTTGCCTTAAAAACTTATTTAAACATATGTTTTCGCGAAAGATAAGTAGTGAGAGGCATTTTAATCCCGACCGTCCAAATCCTCTGTATCTTTCCATTGGCTACTATAAAACGATCTGCTAGGGCTTTTGTTTTCCGGCTCCGCTCTCCGTCGCTCGCTCAGAAAAGATGGTGAAGGGTAGGCAAGGCGAGCGCGTCAGGTACCCAAAATCAATAACTCGACTATCGTTTCTCCTATCGATCCATTGATTTGTCTTTCCCTCGTTATATGCCTTCATTTCTCTGTCAGGCTGTACGTTCGCGGAACTATTCTTGGATATAAGAGGCAAGCGTCATACATTCCGTTCTAAAAACTTAGGTTTCTGAGCTTCCGTGGTCATTTTTTCTATTTGGATTTCATCGTGCTTCGTATATTGTAGATCGAAGTCGAACCAGTATGAGAATACGTCTCTGGTGCAGATCGAGGGCGTGAACACGAAAGAGGAGGTTGGATGGTATGCTGGTAAGCGAATGGCGTACATCTACAAGGCGAAGACGAAAAAGAATGGCACGCACTATCGCTGCATATGGGGAAAAGTCACTCGACCCCACGGCAACAGTGGCGTCGTCAGGGCTAAGTTCAAAACCAATTTGCCACCCCAATCAATGGTAAGATCGCAGCTACCAAACCTTTTGCTTACCGGAAATTAGCTTCGAAGACGTTATTGTGATTTAAATTTGATTGAATTTGGAATTGGGTGTTTGCATTATAAGTTCTGCTTATTTAGCTGATATTTTTTTTTTTTCAATTTTGTACTTTAGGGCCGCAAAGTCAGGGTTTTCATGTATCCGAGCAACATATGAGGTGAGTCTATTTTATCATCCTCGACATTTGTTCAGTCTACTTTATTAGGTTAGATGCTACTAGTTATTATGCTGTAGGTGCATTTTTGGTTGTCACCAGATTTAATTTTGTAATCAGAAAACTATTCTTTGTTAATCGTTTTAATAAATAAACGATTTACACAAAAGTTACACAAAAATTATATGAATGCTTGTTATGGCAAATGCCTGTGTTTTGAATATTGATCCCAAAGCTTGTAGAAGGTGATCAACGCGACTTTTGAGTTTGTTTGCGGTTACATACGCGAGATTATACATCAATTAGTAATTGCGTGGTGATTAAGTTGATATAAATGAAGTAATGTATAATTTACCATCAAGATGCTTAATGAAACGTTTCTTTTTTTAATTTTTTGTTTCTATACATTTTCCAGTAAGATTTATTTTGCATCAATGGCACAACAATATATAAGTTTTTAATTGGAACCATTCTCTACTCCGTAGAGTGCACAATGTAATATATTTCTTTTTTATAATTATCTTTATTGAAAAATATATATTGGCCAAGTTAATGCCAGAGGAATTCTTTTTAGATACCCATATTTTTTTTAAATAATCTCTATTGATTAGAGCAAGTTTGCCTATGCTTAGTAGCAACATTGAACATGAAAACCCCATGCATTTGTTGATCTCGTGTTGAGTTTTATTTAATAAACCTGCACTTCCTCTTATTGAAAAAGTTGAGTTGCCGTCTCTTTGAATCATGATGTATTTGAATCGTGATGTAGGAGCGCATTTAGGATTGTAAATTGCCAGCTAGTTTTGCCTTAGGTTTACTTCATATATCTTCGATTACGTTAATAAGCAGTAAAAGGGACAATCACATACATAACATTATAATTTTATATATTTATAAAACTGACACCAAACTATCTTCATTTATAGTAATGCACTCAAATATCAAAGGAAACAACAAAAACTTCCATCCTATATTTTGCTTTCACTAAATTGTCACTGGTTTTTAGCATATGCTAATAGACATTTTTGACAGGATGTTTTAAAACCTACCTTTTAGTATTACCTTTAAGAAAGTTTTTGGTAATATTTTCTTGAATATCCCAAAGTAAAACCATCGTCATCTTATATATGCTTATCAAAATACATATCTTATTTAAAAAATATATACCCTGGTAAGTGGCTTATCATTTGACTTATAGTGATTTGAAGAATTGAATTTCCTTTTGTTGATTTCCTCTTTACACTAGAATTATAAATTGGCTAATTATAACTTATAGGCATGTTTTAAACACACAAAATTCCAAGCCATTCATTTTGTTTATAAATTGTATTCTATAGTTGTAGATTATGTAATTTTAAGGGCATTTTTCGTGGCATATCAAAGTTCAACCTATTTTCATGATCATTTCATGGTAGTCTAATACTAATTTTGTCTCGTCAAGGGCATTCTCATCTTCATTGAGAAAAAAACACAGTTTTCATAGATGGCACATCAAGTGAGATCAACAACTTAAAGTATTACAATATCATCCATTATTATTGATACATCCTCACATATATCCCACAATTTAGCCTCTCTTTGAACATATTATTGGCTTCTCCTAGATGCATAAATACTAAATTTTCCCTTTGTTGGCTGTTCCTATTAAGTGAATTTGTAAAATATTATGCATCTTTAGGTCATTACTCATTTTAGAAATCATCAAGCTATTAAATAATAAAACAAATTTAAGAATTTCTAAGGAAAGAATTTTACAATCTCATATGTGACTTGATATAAAAGATCTATTTGTGATGCTAAAAATTATATTTTTAGTGATATATGTAATATATGAGAAGGTGACAGATACATGCATAAAATAGTTAAACAAAGAAAAAAAAAGTAAAGTTTTAATTCGAGAGAGTGTATTAAATTTGAGAGAGTGTATTAAAGATGAAAATAAAAAAATAACTTTTATAAAAAAAGAAAAACCTTTTATATATGAGATATTCAACATAAATATATGAAATAATTTGATAAAATTTTTAATGCAGTTTTTGAAAATACAATCGACTTCATTGATCTTAATATCATTTGTAATAATAAATTTTTTTATTTTACCATCACATTAGTAAAAAAAAAGTTGAGGCTTTAAAGAAAACCAAGGGTGGAAAGTTTGTAGTGATGGCATCCCAATAGAAGTGTGGAAATATTTCAGAGACATGTGAATTTCTTGGCTTGCTAAAATTTTTAATATTATTTTAAAATTTAAAAAGATGACGAGTGAAGGAGTATTATTTTGGTTTCCATTTTGAAGAGTAATGGGGATGCACAAGTGTGTGCAAGTTATAGAGGAATTATGTTAATCCTTGATACATTAAAATTATAGGAGAGTAATTAAAATATATATCAAGAAGTGATACAATCATTTCTCATAATCTCTTTGGAGAGTAAGGAGGATCTTCATATAATTTTTATTTATATAGAACAAGCTTATGATAAGACTCCTAAAGAAGTTATTTAGAGAGTTCTAGAAAAAAAAAAAAAAACGTGTTGATATGATTTATATTCAAGTCATCAAAGATATGCATATTGAAGTTGTTACTTGTGCTCAAATAGGAGGATTAGCCGAGTAATTTTCTATTCTAGTTGGATTACATAAAGAATCTGTTTCTTTTCCTTTAGTTATGGATGCTCTTATTGTACATTTATAATGGTAAGGTCGGCCCAAACTTGAATTGTGGAGGTATACTTTAAAGTTTAAAGACCTTCGTGAGGTGGATCTTAAATTGAATACATAGAATGTAATTTTGGTAGAGTATATCTAGCGACGAAATTGTAACAAGGAGTGATTAAATCATTAAAAGGGCAAGTCTACTATGGAAGCTATAGGTTTCAAATACATAGAATGTTATTTTGGTAGAGTATATCTAGCGACGAAGTTGTAACAAGGAGTGATTAAATCAGTAAAAGGGCAAGTCTACTATGGAAGCTATAGGTTTCATGGCGAGCGTAAGGAGGATCTACATATGCTTTTTATTTATTTAGAACAAGCTCATGACAAGTTTCCAAAGGAAGTTTTTGATAAATCACTTTGGATTTATGCCAGGTAAGTTTACTATGGAAACTATAAGTTTGCTGAAGAGAGTAAGAAGGATCTACATATAATTTTTATTAATTTTGAGCAAGCTTATGACAAGGTTCCAAAGGAAGTTTTTGAGAGAATTTTAGAAAAGAAAGCTGTTGAAATAACTTATATTCAAGTCATTAAAGATATGTATGCTGGAGCTATTACTTGTGTTAGAATAGAAGGATGTTTAACTAAGTATTTTCCTATTTTAGTTAAATTACATTAGGGATCAACTTAAAGCCCATATCTTTTTGCTCTAGTTATGGATGCTCTTACTGGACATTTACAATGGTAAGTTGCATCTATGAAACTTGAATTATGGAGGTATACTTTAGAGTTTAAAGACCTTTGTTTGAATAGATATAAAATTGAATACATAAAATGTAATTTTAGCATTAATTTATCTAGAGACAGTTGTAATAATGGGTGATTAAATCATTAAAAGGAGTGAACATTTTAGATATCTTTGGTCTATTTTCAAAGTAATGGTGATATAGATGAGGACGTTATTAGTAGAATTCAAGTTGGATGGTTGAAGTGGAGGAATGCATCCGACCTATTGTATAATAGAAAAGAATCGCTTTGACTGGAAATAAAATTTTATAAGATGGTGGTGAGAATTTGGAATGCTTTAAGTTGCAGAATATTGGTCTATAAAAGAGAAGCATAAATCTAAGTTAAGTGTTGTTGAGATGAGAATGCTTAGGTGGAGGAGTGACTTTACACATAAAGAAAAAATGTGAAACGAATATATCTGTGAAAGGGTTGGTGTAGCTCCAGTGGCAAACAAAGATTAGAGAGTCATCTTAGATTGTTTGATCGTATTAAACGTCGATCATCTGATACCCGATTAGGATTGTAGATTTTTAAGACTCGACTTATGTTAAGAAAGGTAGAGGCAGACCTAGAAGACACAATAACATGTTATAAAAATGATATTAATTTATTAGAATTAAATAAAAATATGATACTCAGTAGGGCATAATGAAGAAAAAAGATTCATGTAGCTAGCTTCACTTAGTGGGATATAAGCTTTTTTTGTTGTATTATATGTGACTTGATACAATTTCTAAACTTAACAATATGATTTTAAACATTTAGTAACTAAATATTGCTCCGATATGATAAGAGCTTTGGCCATCTAGCCACTTCAATTAAGAAAGTCTAGAATATGTTTTCCCCTAACTTGTAACAGAAAAATATTGAATCAATGAGTGAAGTAGAAAACTCTGTTCAAAGGGTAAAATGACACGAAGTTGATTTTGCTGGCTAGGGGACGACTTTGAGTTTGAAGATGGCTTCAAAGGTTTCATGATGAATTCCGTTGAGAAGGAGATAGAGCGGAGACGGCTCTTAATAATTCTTTCTATGACTTTTTTTTTTTTGGGAGAGGTGTCTTGTGATCAATGATCTTTGGCTTTGGGAGACATGAGCGGGATATTAAGCGGCTCCATCTTTGATGAATTTGTTCGTAGGTAATTGGGGCAAGGGAAGGGCTACGACAAAGACACGTGTGGGTATTATTTTCCCCTTAGCATAGTTTCAAGGCTTGCTTGCTTCTCAATTTCGAGACTTGTGTGTCTTCTTTGTTTCCCCGTGTTAGAATCTAATTTCACACTGAAGATTCAGTCATGAATTTTGAAGCGTTAAAACATGTGTTGGTGTGTGTCGGAGTTATGTTTGTGTCCAACATTTAATGAAACCGCTTCATAGGAACTTTTAGAAGTATTTAATATTGGTGTAAGTTTCTTTGAAAAGAAAGATTTTACGTTTTTATTGTGCTATGATTCCTGATAAATGACATTAAGGTCTAGTACTTTTCTAGATTTTGATTAGTTAAAATTTATTCAGTGCAGATGTTGCATTGATAGGATAGTCTTTCGTGGCCTATATGATAGCACTGCCTACATACTTGGAGAATTTTCAAACATTTTAACATTAATATGGTTGCATTATAGCTTCTTTTCAACACTTGCTTAGAATTAAATATTATAGGTGTGGTGATCTTGATAAAAAAATAGAATCCCTAACCTAGTCAGGAAGTACTGCTACCAATGACACTGCGGGAGACACATGCTTTTTGCTCATAGATAGACAGCATTTGGTTTAGGGGCATTTATATATATACCACCCACTTATTATGTATTTACAGATGTAAGACCTAAATTTTACTTTTTTGCATTTATACCACCCAATCTTTCATATCTCATAAAAAAATACCATTATCTTAACTTTTAAAATAATGCAACGCGCCCTTCCATGCATAGTTAAGGTGGCATGCATGTAAAAATTAAAATATAGGTTTTGGTTGTGTACATAGATAAAATTTGAGTGGTATGTATGTAAAATATTTTTTTCTAGCTTTATACTTGTTTCATGCTCGCACAACTGTTTTCCCAAGCTGCCTTTAAAAATTTAGAATTCTGGGAGTTTTTGGGCAAGGACATGGGCTTAATACTAATACTCTTTCATTTCTTGAAAAGCATGTATTATAATAGCCTCAGATTTTATGAATTCTGCTTTCTTTAAATCTCTTACAGAATATGAATAATACAAGGAAGATTTGCAGGCATTCCACTCAATTCCTGTTTATTTACGTATCTAACTAAACGTCAATTTTTTACATACCGCCTTGCTTTTCCTATGCATGAAAAGCCGTATTTAACCTTTTTTTTTTTTAAAAGTTAAAAAGATGGCATTTTTAATGTAATATGAAAGATTTGAGTGATATTAATGTAAATCGTGAAATTTATTTTAAATGTAATATGAATGATTTGAGTGATATTAATGTAAATCGTGAAATTTAGGTGTTAGATATATAATGTTAGATAGGTTAATACGTAGGAATTTGGTGGTATGGAAATGTCCCATAATACAATGATATTCATGTTATTATAAATATTAGTCTTAGTATAAGAACATAAAGAAGGCCTCAATACTCACAACACACTGATGAAGAACTCAAAGAATAGATATGCAATTATGTTATTTGTTGTTTATCATTATATATTCTTTTTTTATTATTCGCCAAAAAAAATGATTTTTTTATCGTCTTTTTGCTAGGTTTCTAAGCTTATTGCAAATTTGGGCAGTTGTACTTTTTCTAAATACCTTTTTTAATTTTGCCGTCCAGGTGTAAAATCTCCATGTGCTGTTGCGGTTGAAGCTGTGGAGAGTCTTTGGATTTAGCTTTATATTAAAATTGCAAAACTCTTTATTTTAAAATTTGTTGCCTACTGTTTGCTTAAACCCCCCTTCAATCTCTTATTTTATGTTTATGGTTTTTTTTGGTCTCATGTTACTTAATGCTTGTCAGTTACGCAGATATTGGTTTTATCCAAATTTAACTTTAGAGAATTTCAGTGCATTTAGACATTGAGACATTCAAATTAATATTTTTTATGACTGGGATTGAATACAGGAAATTACAAAAGTTTTAGGTATTTATTTGAAATTGATACGGAAGTTTCAAGTAAATAATGTACGAAGAACATAGTGCAAACCACCTTATTTATGCTGTTTTGGATGTGATGTAAAAGATTTACATAGGAATTAGGTGCTATGAGCATTATAATTTCCTCCCAAGCATAAATGATTTGAAAATATTATAGTTATATGATAAATTTAAAGGTCACTTGTATAATTAAGGAAAATATTTTATTGTTATATTTTGTGGTGGAGTTATGAAGTTATTGCTGGAAAAACGATTGTTTTATATAAGTAATTTGAACTCTAAAATGTCTGGAGCACAGCACAAATGTTGGTAATGAGAGTATATAAAAAATTTTGCACATTAGTCTCCCATGGTAACGATAATCACTAAAATACACAATTATCTACAGAGAGGATTGCTTTTCTTTAACATCTGAAGCAGATTTATCATCTTGGCGTTTGTTGGAGTTTTTGATTTTTCTCAAAGCTCCTCTGAGTCCCAACACAATAAACAGATTTGTGAGAGTAAGCAACGACTCAGCACCGCCATGCAGCCAATCAACATTAGCTAATGAGGTTCCATACTTCAGCTTAGCTGCAACAGTGCAGCTTCCTTCCAAGTTAGAGAAGAATATATAAAATAGGGGCTTTTACATACAGACCATTCAATTCTTGTGTATTTGCATATCTAACACCTAAAATTTTAATTATTACATGTATATAACCCAAATCTGTCACATCACATAAAAAAACATTGCCAATTCTAGCTTTAAAAAGGTGAAATACAGCTTTTCATGGCTAGGGAAGATGTCATGTTTGTAAAAATTGTGTTAGATGTGCAAATACAAAAGAATGGAGCGGTATGTATGTAAATCTTCCTATAAAATAAAAAAAAAATGAATCAAAGTAGGGTTCAGAATAAGGAATTTTACCATAAATGCCAGCGGGTACTGAGTTGATCAACAAGAAGCCATGGAACATGAAGGGGAAAAGGTTAGCTGATGTAAAATAACAAAAAACAGAAAAAAAAAAAAAAGACAAATAATATATATATATATATATAGATCTACTAAAACTCCGTAAGGATCTTCGAATCTCTCTAAAAAATATTGATGTTATTTATAGCATACAGAATGAGTGAACAAAGTCAATACTTCCTTTAAACAAACAAAGGGTCGATCTTATTGTAGGTTCAAACAATCAACAACCTCCATTTGCTAGAACTTGGTGCTTTTAATGTCACCTCTTGTGGGGTAGGTATTGCACCAATGCCTTCACGTGCATTTTGATGTAATTTGAAGTCTCATTGGTCCCTTGAAATGTGCCAAACTTGCCCCACTAGCACTTGATACAAATTTGTTTTAGGGAATTTGGCTCCATCTTGCTTTTATGGAATCTCATTATGGTCTCAAATAATCAAGAAAATAAGCAGTTGTAGGTGGACACAATGGGGTTCCAAGGCATCATCAACCTTTATGTATGTTCTTCATAGCTAACTTCATTTCACTGTTTTAATTAATTTATAATATATATCATTATTCTTTTCAGGAAGGTGTAAAAAATATTTCATGTACTATTTAATGGGGTCATTTTAGTCCCAGTGTCCATAAAAAATGTCAATTTAACCCCATATTCTTTTAATAGGGGCTAAAATAGTCATCTGCGTACTATTTCAACACATTAAAAGAGTTTAAAAACTAGTTTGTCACTTTTATAGACTACGAGATTAAAATGAACCTCAACAAAAAGTTAGGGGAAATTTTGACATTTTTCTCTTAATCTATTCATTATGCTTTCTTGAAAGAAATAGTCTTTAAAACTCATTCCAAATTTGCTCAAAATAACATATCTTACTTGCCTAATACAATCATATTCAACTTATTATCCTTGCTTTAATGTGTCTAACATCATCAAAATCTCAAATTTTCTCCTTCAAGATACTCCTTTTGCTTTGCATCACATCACCTTTGTATGCTAAATTCTTTATAATCATTGTCTGAGTTAAATTTACTTCATAATAGACTTTAGGTAGTTTATTTATTTTTCTTAATAACACTTTAACCTTCTTACTGCACCACCAATCTCCTTGTTTATATACAGTCTATTTCTAGACTCCTCTAAAACTGATATGACAACCTTTTCAAACGGTTAGCCATTTGTACAATAACACCTTAGGCTCAACATAGAGATTCAATAATTTACAATTTCCCAAATTTCATATTCTAAGCATTATGTCTTAAGAATATGATTTATTTTATCATTTTCTTACACTCGTATGTTATGCATATAGACATAACAAGTAATTTATGTCATGTGATCAATCATTCTCCAAGACTTTAACCTTAATCTTTGTAAAACTTTTGTTCCCTTTCCAAATAAAGGGAACTAAATTTCTAATTTATTGACTCCGTCTTCAAAGTAACAAATTGCTCTTCTCCTTTCTCATAGTATGTGATTGGTATTACAAGAAAATGCAACCATAAAATCAAGTATAACTTGCACCACATCAATTTTTAATCTTGTATTTCATACCCACAAGAAATCCTCTTATAGCTCACAATGCTCTAATCTATATAAGAATAAGTTCTCATAGCCCATCCATGTCATCCTAGAATTGACTTTTCAAACCATCAACTAACCAAACTTGATGAGCAAATACATTAACAACATTTATAATATCCTCATAATGATTAATTAACTTAATAGCAATCACTCTAATAATAATATTATTCATGTGAAACATTTAATCTTTCAACTCTATATGCCCTACCACACTTACTCTAATACTAATTTTGAACTTCCCAACATAAATTAGTTTTGCTCTATTGAATTTCATTTCCTATAAATAAGCAACATTGATTATTCTTCTATCATTTACAATTCATTGTAATAGTACCTATGTTCATGCTAGACACATTGAGTTCCTGTAACACGTGTGGATTGAAAGTAAGAAGTAGATCAAAATTTATGTTGTACAAAAAGGATTTAGGTAAATTAGAATTATTAGAGGAGCAAAATTAATCTATCCAACCCCATATAATTTAGATAAAAGCTTACAATAATGATTAAATTAGCAGAGCATATATCAGCCAACAATTTTATAGAAATATAGTGATTAAAAGTGAAGGAATCTAGTGATGAATAATAAGAACAGACAACTAAACTTCTTTACAAGTATAGATAAAGAACAACCTTCCTGAACTCAGGACATCGAGATTAACAAGTATGAAATTTTTTTTATCAGGATGGGTCCAAAAATCATAAAATTTGTTTTTAAAAGAATATAATCTACGGACAAACAATAAAAAATATTTATTACATTCATCTTAGAATAAATTTGTTAAGTCCCCTATAAAGTGGATTGAAGCCAAACTCTTAAACATCGAGACACCTTTTGGTGTAATGATGGAATTTCATTAGGAACTCTAAAATTAAGCATGCTCGTCTTGGAGCACTCCTAGGATGGGTGAACTCCTAAAAAGTAACACCATTGAGGCAAAATCGTGACGCCACGATGTCAAAACGGACCATACCTTGATGGGTGGGAGTTTGGGTCATCACAAATAGTATCAGAGCATTACACAAGTCAAAAGATGGCAACTAAGTGCCATACAGAACAAAGTGCTACACCATGGAAGTCATCTCTTAGACCTTGAATGGAACAAGGTGCTACATGGTGAGAGCCACCTCTTGAATGTTTAGGGGCATCTCTAGAGTGCTATCTGCATGGTCGTTGATTATGGGTATAATGAGGACGTCCAATACTTTAGTGGGGGGAGAATGTGAAATCGCTTAAGTAGATTGAAGCCACACTCTTAAAAAATCGAGACACATTTGGTGTAATAGTGAAATTTCATTAGAAAATCCAAAGTTAAGTGTGCTTGTCCTGGAGAACTCCTAGGATGGGTAATCTCCTAGAAAGTTGGGCAAAACCATGAGGCCACTACGCCAAAGCGGAAAATACTTTAATAGGTGAGAGTTGGGTCTATCATGAAATTCAACAACTTCAAGATATATCCGACCTAATTTTTTTTTTCCTTAGCAGTACCATCCAGCAAAAACGATACTAAAATAACCAAGAACAAACATTCTAATGTGCAGTCATGCATAGAGATTGCATAGAAAAAGAATAAATCAGCACAAATTACTCAATTCTTATGTATTTTACATTTTACACACATAATACCCAAATCTTTAATATCAAAAATAGCACTATATGTATGTAAATGTGAAAGTTTAGGTGTGAGATATGCAAATACATAAGAATTGTGTGCCACATATGCAAATCTCCTAAAAACAAATTGGAAACTAAAAGAAAAAAAAGGCGAGCAAAACAAAAACCCCTATTATTTAGCAGAAGCAGACAGCATAAACAAGAAAGTAAATTATCAAAAAAGGGCGATTCAGCACTCATATCCATACAGAAGTAGAAAGAAAAGAAATGAACATACTTGTGGCGCCGACAAAGGCGAGCAGGAAGTAGAAACCGAAGAGAGTGAGCTTGGGGGCGGTTTTTGACCTAGTGATGTAGTACAGGAAGCCGAGGTAAGGGAAGAGCGAGATGGCGAAGAGCTGGGAAGCTATGCTCTGTGAATCGACTGTCGGAGACCACGGATCGGTGGGTAGAAGCCCGCATAGAACTTTGGAGCTATAGGAGATATAAGTAGGGTTTGCGGCGCTTCGAAATCGCCCGTTTCTTCTTCTTCCTCTGGTCACGAGGGTTCCGATGAAAGAGCGTTCTCTCAGTAGATCGCGTGGCACACAGGCGAGCAGCAATCTGCAGGGAAGGCTCATTTCTGTCTGTGCGCAATGTGGAGTTCTCTATCTTCTCAGGATATATTATGTACGCATTTACCTGCATACCTTGAAGATTTATTTATTTACATCTGTAACCTTACATTTTAATATTTATATCAATACCTCTTTATCTTATAAATGAAAATTAAGTATTTAACTTTTTATAAAACGAGTTTAGGATGAGCGATAATTTAATTTAGTGGCATCTACATATCTAACATTTAAAGTTTAATTTTTTAGGTTTAAACAAATCAAATCTTTAATATATCATGAATAATACCTCCATTTTAGCTTTTTAACGGTAGGCATTAGGCATTAGAGTTGTAAATAGACAGGAATTTAGTGGTCTCCATGTAAATCTTTCTTTAATTTTATATGAGATACTTTCAATTTAGGGGCAATTACATACATACCGCCCAATTCCTATGTATTTACATATTCAACAACTTGAAGCATTAATTCTTACATTTATACCATTCAAATCTTTCACATGACATTAAAAAAAAAAATACCATATTAACTTTTGAAAAGTGAAATGCATCTTTCATGTATAGTTAATGTGGTAGGCATACTTACCACTTAATTCTTATGTATTTACATATCTAACTAAAACATACCACATTTCTTATGCATGAAAAGATGTATTTCATTTTTTTAAACTTGAAAGTGATATTTTTTATGTGATATGAAATATTTAGGCGGTATAAATGAAGAAAAATGAAGTTTAGGCTTTGATGTGTAAATACATAAGAATTTGATGGTATCTCCAACAAATTCTCTTGGCTGGGTCAAATATATTATAGATAAAAGATTTATTTAATATTTTCCAAGCTTTGCAATTTATTCTATTTTCATCACAATACTTTGCCTTTTTATAAATGTCTAACAAATCTTATTGTTTGCTATGCAAGGCTTTTGCTATTGGCAAAGATATTATTTTACTTGGAGTGTAGGAATCATCATACTAATATTTCTCTGTGATCATTATTAGGGGTGGGTTGTTCAATCTCATTTTTATTTTTTATTTTTTCTTTTTAAAACATGTTTGTTTGGTGAGTTTTTTTTTTATGTATTTTATTTCTTTTGTATCTAAAAATAAATTAACATATTTCGAAAACACTCAAAATAACATTTAGGTGTTTTTGAGTATTTTTAACAACAATCATATCTTAATCAAATAAGCCATACATGTTCTGCTTCAAACTAAAAATAATAATAATAATAATAATAAAAGATCGCAATTAGTTATCTGACACCGTATGTCGAGTTTCTTATGATTGTTCTCCTATTTATTTATTTCTCCCCTCCACACATGTCAACTTAGGGTCTGTTTGACGCAACCCGCTTGGTGCGGCTTGGGCGCGGTTTATTAAACGCACCTGCAAAGCCATATCGCGATCCGAAGCTGGATTATTCGACGTTATATGGTAATTTTTCCTTTGATGTCCTTCGTCCTGCTCGCCCTCAGCCCGTAAGCGATCTGCCTAGGACTTTTTTTCCACATCTTCTCTTTGCTCGCTGACACATCTGGATAGGGTTATTTGCCGACGTTTGCTTCCTTCTTCCTTCAGTATCCTCTCCCTTAAATCTTTTCTTTGTGAATTTGCTCTATGAGTCGTATGGTCTGCGCAAATATATATATTTTTTTATTTTCACATACAAAGCACAGGAAACTTACTTTTTTTTTTCTTTTTTCTCGATGCTACAACTCCATTTTTACATACAAAGCACTGTATGTTTAGTGATTTGTTTGATAGGTTTGTGATCTTTGGTTGATGCATACATTTCGTTGGTTTCTGCGTTGGTTTTGTTTTTAGGATTGATTACATACCTATCAAACAAGTCCTGGTTTTGACATTCTTGCTTCCTGCTTCCTACATTGATTTGTGATATGTCAATGCGAATTTGAGAAATAGTTGGAGCAATATATGAATAAGGCTTTTCGGTTGTTGTTTAGTTGATTAACATGGATTGAGATTTTTTCATAATTTTTTATATTTGAGTGAAAATATTGAGAAAATGATATTAGAGGCCTGAGCATTTGTTAGCATCAAGATTTATACTGTGTACATTATAAAATTGGATAGAGAATCAAGCTGGTCTTACCAACAATCTTGTAGGTTCTCCTTTTTCTGGTGGGACTTTATACTTTTGTTGGACCGATTGAAAGTTAGTGGTCGGTTGGAGACAACCAGAATAACGGTCGGCCGAGGGGTGTCGCCGGTCGATGGGTGATTTGTTGGAGACATTTATAAGATTTTAGTAATGCATAAGAAAACATATAAATATGCAAGAATTGAGTGGTATATATGCAAATCTTCCATGTTTCAGGGGCGGTTGGCCAACTGGTGGCCACTGAAGCAGAGGTGTTCGCTCGGCAATGTGACTAGAGAAGTGTTGTGGTCGATGAACAAATATATAGCAAAGCATTGATCGATAAATTAGCTTGGATTTAACCTAGATTTTACCTGGCACTCATGCTTGGACAACAAAAACCCCAGATTTGTCAATCTTATAGTGATGCTCCATTGCAACAAGGAAGAGTGAAAGGGTCGGAGGTAGGTTGTTGGGAAAATAGGTTGAGCAAATTATAAATACATATATATATATATATATATATATAT